TCCAACTCTACAATCAGTTTTCCAATCAATTCAGGAGGGAGGGGTATACCTCCCGTCAGCTTTCCAAGCCCATCATATCAAATTAAAAAAGACAAAGACCCCTCTGACCCGGGTTCATAGCGGCCGTTATCCCTTTTAAATCTAGACGCAAAAATACTCTCTATAATCATTGCAAACCGATTAGCCATTATCTTACCTTCTCTTATCCATCCTTCACAAGCAGGCTTCATACAGGGACGCTCGGCCGCATCGAATACACGCAAAGTATTAACAGTCTTAAACCAAGCCAAAACTAACCCACTCCAGGATCTAGCGATTATCTATCTCGATGCCGAAAAAGCCTTTGACAATGTCAGTTTCCAATGGCTTTACCTAGCTTTGCAAAAATTAGTTTTTTCAGGTCCTTTCACGCATTTAGTCTAAGCTATGTACTCAGCGCCAACGGCACAAGTAATAGCGGCAGGCCACATATCCAATCCCATACAGCTCCATAAAGGAACAAGGCAAGGATGTCCTCTTTCCCCCTTACTTTTCAATCTAGCATTGGAACCTTTAGCTCACTTTCAATTGTTTAACTCCCATCTCCACGGAATCCAAATTGCCCAGCAGGATCTGCGTTTAGCGCTGTTCGCAGATGATATATTAATATTTACATCCAACCCGACCCTAGACTTGCCTTATATTAACGCCACATTCTTAGCTTTCCGACACTGCTCGGGCCTCCGCATAAATTTCACAAAAAGTGAAGTCCTTCCTCTGTACCATGCTCGCCTTCCTATATAGGCCCAAAATTCACTCTTCAAAATTTCCACAAGCCACATCACCTAACTAGGCATCAAAATAGGGAAACTCACCTCGTCTCTATACACGCTTATTACTCGCCAATAATTCAAAAAATTATAGGAGAGTTGGAGATGTGGAAAGACCTGCCACTATCGCTCCTGGGGAGGTCTCACCTCTTCAAGATGGTGAGCTTCCCAAAATTATTGTATCCCCTACAAACTATCCCCTTCTGCTTAGGCACACCAATATAACCACGCATTGCACTACACCAGTTATTTCTTCCTAGGAGTGAGGGGAGGTCTGGACTTCCTAATATACGAATTTACAATCTTTCATGTATTTTACGTGTCTGCCTAGACTGGTTGACTCAGTCGTCCAAATACTCTATCAACTTGAATCCACTATGGTCCATCCATTTGATTTCATGGCCCTTCTGCATTCGAACACTAACTCGCTCCCACCCCATATAAAACATAACCCACTCATTCGTTACACTCTTATCACTTGGAAAGAGGTTAGACATAAACTAGGAGTCTCTCCTTGGCTGTCTTGCTTTCTTCCTATTCATCGTAACCTTTCTTTTTCTATCCCACAACAACATGCAGCATATGAAATGTGGCATACTCATGATCTTAGATTTGTAAGACAACTGTTTCACACCTCCTTTGGTTCTCCCTTGCCTTTCCAACACATCCTAAGCTCCTTCAACCTACTTTCTCACCACTTTCTGTACATCTTACAAGTGTGGAACTTTGTGAATTCGGTGGTTCCGACCAAATCTACTCGTTTTCGCACGACGATAGATGCACTAGCCAGAAATCAAAAATACAAAATATCTAATATATATGGTCCATTAAATTTGCATTAAACGAAACCTCTAGAAACCTCCACTTCCGTGAACTCTTGGATTAAGGACTTTGATAATGCCTTTACTGTTGTCCAAATGCTTACAGGGTTTAACACTACATGTGCCTTCAACTCTAATGAGTTTTGGCGTGAGCAACAATTTAAGATCCTGCATCATGCATATATGCCTTGCCTATACTCAAGGACTAATCCTTCCGCATCTACCTGCCCGCTTTGTGGATGTTACAAACCTTCATTACAACACAGATTTTGGCTCTGCCCACCATTATCTACCTTCTGGAACCAAATACCTAACTTTATAGCATTTATCACCAATCTTCAAATACCTAAGGATCCATTACTCCTTCTCTTCGGCAATCTGGAACAAACTACCTCAGGAATTCTCTCTATGCAGCTCGCAACCCTTTGGACTAACAAACCGTGGCTTTCCACTTGCCTATTGGTAGCGAGAAGAGCTATACTAAAAAAAAATTGGTCTCCAACTATCCACCAAGCATTTTAGATGTTAAACAGGACCTTAATTCTCTCCTTCGTTTAGATAGGCTCAACCTACTATCTACACCCAACAATCATAGAGCGGATTATTACAACCAAAAGTGGAAGCTTTACATTTCTAGATCATTTTCCGTCCCAGATCAACAATTCTTCCTTCAAGGCTCGGCAGTAATGAACCAGGCCCCATAATCTTATTCTTGATGTACTGTTTTCTTTTTGCTTAATGTATGCATATTTGAGATATATTATGCTTGTTGTGTCTGACAGATGATGCTCTTACACCTTTACCAGGTATTCAACCCTCTTCTTTCTCTTCTTTCTTTATCTATATCCTATCCTCTTTCCACCGACAATTTGTGAGGGTTACATTATTTTTTTGCATTTTGCTGCCTCAGACAATGTCTTCTTGGGGAAGTCTGCTCTGCCACCCCCTCTCTTTCCCCACCCTTCCATCCTCTACTCATGCGTATAATCTTTCTTTTTTTTTCACCTCCCCTCCCCACCCCCTTTTTTTGGACTAGCCTCCCTTCCTTCTCTTCCTGATTATCTCTTTTCACGTTTTCTTTTCTCTATCTTTTTTTCTATTAGCCTACATTCATGATCACTACCTTCAATTTCTATAATAAATATTGGTCAACATATCACTACACTTCTATCACCCAGAAACATTATTTAAGTTATCACATACTTTAACACCATATCTCTCCCATCTTGTTTGCTCCCAACTAAGGACACTTCTGACATTCTTCACTGCTCTTATTTAGGCACAATAATTATAAGATACTAGTCTCTATCTACCCCATCCCAGGGGCCACTTAACCGCCTTTCATTTGAGTGCCATATTTCTTGCTTCTTATATATTGTCTGAAATTTTCTACGCTCTTATGTTGCCATGCTATACCCTCGAAAGTCATCTCTTGGTTGTTATTATGCAAACAACAAAACCCAATAAAGATTCTTTGAAAAAAAAAAAAGGAATCTTTTCTCAGTGAAGAAGCTGACAAAACATGGCAATGTAGTGACCATCAAAGGTGACAGTTGTTTCATCACAAAAGGGAATATCTTATGTGCAAAGGCTAAAATTACAGATGAAACTTCAGTGTGTTCAAATTTTCATGAAATAACACAAACACATTAAACTGAGGGAAATTGCACATCAGTGTTACATGAAGATAGGCAACAAAGTGACAGAGAAACAGAAATTAATGCAGACAATCCAAATACTGTAAAATAAGAAAGAAAGCCACAAGAGGCTTCAATCAGGAAATCCAAACAAACACATAAATCTTTTTTTTTCACTTAAGAGTGGGTCTCAGATGCTGTAGACCCTCTATATTCCCATCCTGGCTTGTACAGACATGTCACGTTTTGCAGCCCTCTCCAGACCGTAGTCCAAACAAACTGTTACCATAAAGAAAACAGAGGGCACACCAGCTCCTAGTGGGTGTTCAGAGGGCTCTAAGGAAGAGGATTACATTCTTGAAACGTGTTAGCCTGTTGGACCTTGTTTCAATGTGTGATGTTGTCAGGGACCCCAGCGGCTGCTGTGATCGCGGGCGGATCTGCGCATGCGCGGTGTGCCCGGCCGCACTGGCATGTGAGCATTAAGACCAGGGCACCCGCGATTGCAGCGGCGCTCGCACATGCGCACTCGCGATCACAGGTGCGAGCCTGGCACCAATCAGGGCGCAGGGTGCCCTATTTAAAACAGGACAGGTATTTGTTCCAATTGTCGTATGGTCTTACTTGTATCCTGTGTTCCTGTATTGAGATTGCCTTGTTGCCGACCCTGTCTGACCCTGATTTGCTGTTTGTCTCCTGTTCTGATCCCTGGCTTGTCTGACCATTCTCCTGCTTAACCCGGTATGTTCTGATCTCCCGTTAACGAACCCAGCTTGTGACCTGTTTATCCCTCTGCCTGCTGACTTTGTACTTCACCGCCACCACTGTTACTGAACCAGCCTGTCTGACGCTGCTCCTGTTACCTCCTCACATCAGACTCTCACCTGCTATACACCTCCAACGGTGCTTCTACCACAGCTGGGTGAACCCAGGGGCCCGACCTGGTCTCGGCCTGCTCCAAGTCCATCCCCACCATCAGGGGCTCTGCTGAACAAGTAGGTTGGAGCTTAGATTCCGCACCTTGGGGGAATCCGGTCTGTGGAGTGCTAGAGGCTACCGCAGTTGGATCACTGACAGATGTATCTAGAGTCTGAAGCTGCATCTATTCTGATAAGCTGTTACTGATGTTGGTTTGTGAGTATATCACCTATTGGATTTCATCAATAATAGATACCTGATGATAATGTACTTGGCTGGTGTGCCCTCTGTTTTCTTTATAATCAGGAAATCCACCGTAAGCAATGAAGGCATACCAGCCAAAAGTCTGTCCTATGTTGCTCACGTAGCATTAAACCAGAGCCAAATTCAGCTGTCAGCTGGGTGCCTACACTAAAGGGAGGACAACTCCGCGGAAGTGGGAGCTGGTACCTGTCAAATTCAGGTACCCGCTCCCCCTCCCTCCCCAAAGGTCCGCAGTCTCTTGGTCATCCCCTGTACTGTTTATAGTCTCTTGGTCATCCCCTGTACTGTCTGCAGTCTCTTGGTCATCCCCTGTACGGTCTGCAGTCTCTGGTCATCTCCTGTACTGTCTGCAGTCTCTGGTCATCTCCTGTACTGTGTCCGCAGTCTCTGGTCATCTCATGTACTGTGTCCGCAGTCTCTGGTCATCTGTACTGTGTCCACCGTCTCTGGTCATCTCCTGTACTGTGTCCGCAGTCTCTGGTCATCTCCTGTACTTTGTCTGCAGTCTCTGGTCATCTCCTGTACTGTGTCCGCAGTCTCTTGGTCATCTCCTGTACTGTGTCTGCAGTCTCTGGTCATCTCCTGTACTGTGTCTGCAGTCTCTGGTCATCTCCTGTACTATGTCTGCAGTCTCTGGTCATCTCCTGTACTGTGTCTGCAGTCTCTGGTCATCTCCTGTACTATGTCCGCAGTCTCTGGTCATCTCCTGTACTGTGTCCGCAGTCTCTGGTCATCTCTGTAGTATGTCCGCAGTCTCTGGTCATCTCCTGTACTATGTCCGCAGTCTCTGGTCATCTCCTGTACTATGTCCGCAGTCTCTGGTCATCTCCTGTACTATGTCCACAGTCTCTGGTCATCTCCTGTACTGTGTCTGCAGTCTCTGGTCATCTCCTGTACTGTGTCCGCAGTCTCTGGTCATCTCCTGTACTAAGTCCACAGTCTCTGGTCATCTCCTGTACTGTGTCCGCAGTCTCTGGTCATCTCCTGTACTATGTCTGCAGTCTCTGGTCATCTCTTGTATTATGTCTGCAGTCTCTGGTCATCTCCTGTACTATGTCCGCAGTCTCTAATCATCCCCTGTACTATGTCCGCAGTCTCTGGTCATTTTCTGTACTATGTTTGCAGTCCATTGGTTCAGAATATTTTTTTTCTTGTTTTTCATCTCTAAAACCTAGGTGCGTCTTATGGAGCGAAAAATGCGGTACTTTCAGAACATTGCTATCAGTGGAGGCTTTTCGGAAAATGGCTGTAAAGCACCATAAAACAACAGCCTTTTTCAATGGTGATATCTAAGTCTTGTTAGATGAGGGATATACACAAAGCAGAACTGACCCATGTCTATATTCAACACGTGTAGATTCTGAATATATGTACAGTGGGGCAAAAAAGTATTTAGTCAGCCACCAATTGTGCAAGTTCTCCCACTTAAAAAGATGAGAGAGGCCTGTAATTGGCATCATAGGTAGACCTCAACTATGAGAGACAAAATGAGAAAAAAATCCAGACAATCACATTGGCTGATTTGGAAAGAATTTATTTGCAAATTATGGTGGAAAATAAGTATTTGGTCAATATGAAAAGTTCATCTCAATACTTTGTTATATATCCTTTGTTGGCAATGACAGAGGTCAAACGTTTCCTGTAAGTCTTCACAAGGTTGGCACACAATGTTGCTGGTATGTTGGCCCATTCCTCCATGGAGATCTCCTCTAGAGCAGTGATGTTTTGGGGCTGTCGCTGGGCAACACGGACTTTCAACTCCCTCCAAAGGTTTTCTATGGGGTTGAGATCTGGAGACTGGCTAGGCCACTCAAGGACCTTGAAATGCTTCTTACGAAGCCACTCTTTCGTTGCCTGGGCGGTATGTTTGGGATCATTGTCATGTTGGAAGACCCAGCCACGTTTCATCTTAAATGCCCTTGCTGATGGAAGGAGGTTTGCACTCAAAATCTCACGATACATGGCCCCATTCATTCTGTCCTGTACATGGATCAGTCGTCCTGGTCCCTTTGCGGAGAAACAGCCCCAAAGCATGATGTTGCCACCCACATGCTTCACAGTAGGTATGGTGTTCTTTGGATGCAACTCAGCATTCTCTCTCCTCCAAACACGACGAGTTGTGTTTCTACCAAACAGTTCTATTTTGGTTTCATCTGACCATATGACATTCTCCCAATCCTCTTCTGGATCATCCAAATGCTCTCTAGCAAATTTCAGACGGGCCCGGACATGTACTGGCTTAAGCAGGGGGACACGTCTGGCACTGCAGGATCTGAGTCCCTGGCGGCGTAGTGTGTTACTGATGGTAGTCTTTGTTAGGTTGGTCCCAGCTCTCTGCAGGTCATTCACTAGGTCCCCCCGTGTGGTCCTGGGATTTTTGCTCACCGTTCTTGTGATCATTTTGACCCCACGGGGTGAGATCTTGCGTGGAGCCCCAGATCGAGGGAGATTATCAGTGGTCTTGTATGTCTTCCATTTTCTAATTATTGCTCCCACATTGATTTGTTCACACCAAGCTGCTTGCCTATTGCAGATTCAGTCTTTCCAGCCTGGTGCAGGTCTACAATTTTGTTTCTGGTGTCCTTTGACAGCTCTTTGGTCTTCACAATAGTGGAGTTTGGAGTGTGACTGTTTGAGGTTGTGGACAGGTGTCTTTTATACTCATAACAAGTTCAAACAGGTGTCATTGATACAGGTAATGGGTGCAGGACAGAGGAACCTCTTAAAGAAGAAGGTACAGGTCTGTGAGAGCCAGAAATCTTGCTTGTTTGTAGGTGACCAAATACTTATTTTCCACCATAATTTGCAAATAAATTCTTTCCAAATCAGTCAATGTGATTGTCTGGATTTTTTTTCTCATTTGGTCTCTCATAGTTGAGGTCTACTTATGATGCCAATTACAGGCCTCTCATCTTTTTAAGTGGGAAAACTTGCACAATTGGTGGCTGACTAAATACTTTTTTGCCCCACTGTATATTTTGCTCTTTAAGGATTTTTTGATTGTTGCTCACAAAAAGATGAGAAAGTTGCAAAGTTGACTGCAGTGCTTAACCAGCATTTTGAGACTAAAGATCTTGGGGATGTGACATATTACATAGGAATTAACGTACAGCATAAAGAAGATTACAGCTTTCTGTTAAATCAGAAATCTAAAATTGAAGCAGTACTTCAGCAATTTGACATGGCTGAAGTCAAAGAAGCAAGTATTCCTATGGAAAAGCATACCTAAAAATGAAAGGGGATGAGGAACTTCTACCTACTAATGATCAGTACAGACAAGCAGTGGGGACATTGCTTTATATTGCAACCACAACCAGGGGCGGAATGACCATTTGGAAACTCGGGCACTGCCCGAGGGCCCGGGGTCAGTAGGGGGCCCCGTGAGATGCCCCTGGTACCTTTTTCATAGGCTTTTTTGAGTTTGGGCAAGGACACAGGGGCGCCATGATCCCCTATTGCCTGGGGACCCCATGAGTTGTCAGTCCTCCCCTGACCACAACACGTCCAGTCATTGCAGCTGCCATGTCATTTCTTTGTAGATGCGTGAGTGAACCACGTCAAAGAGACTGGACATCAATCAAGGGAGTCATGAGATATCTCAAACAGATAAAAGACTTGAGTCTGAAGTGGTTTGTAGTTGGTGATTTGAACCTCTGAAGCACTCACAAATCTACAAGTGGTTACTTGTTCAAATTAGGAAACAGTCCTATAGCTTGGTCCAGCAAGAAGCAGATCCCAGTGTCTTTGTCTTCTACAGAGGAAGAATAAATTGCTGCTGCCTATGCCAGTCAAGGAACTGTGTGGTTACGTCAATGGTTTGAAGATCATGCAAAGCCAATTTCCCAGCCTGCAATTTTATATGAGGACAATCAAGGATGTGTCAAACTTGCCGCCAGTGAGAAGACCAATGCAAGAACAAAGCATATTGACATCAGACATCTTTACTTCCATGATCTGGTTGAACAAAATGTAATTGTGCTTACATATTGTGGAACTAATAACATAATCGCAGAGGCTTTGACAAAACTACTTACAAGAAACAGATTTATTGAACTGAGATCTGAAATGGGACTAACATAAAGAGTGGTTGTTTGAGTGAGGATGTTGGAATGCATTGTTCATGCATTTTGTTCATGTAATTCTGCGTGAAACTGGGCAAATTGCTGGATCACCACAATGTTGTTAAATCAGTGACCTTTGTGCTAGATTTTCATCTTCGGGAAGAATGGCATTTTCGGGAGTTTAGATCCTTGAACGTCTTCCTGATCTCTCGTCCTTTACAGTGATGTTCTTCCACTTGAGGTGCGTGTGCCACTCAAAACACCTCAAATGACTCATTGCAGCATTGCCGTAATCCTGCCGAATCATGTCAAACGTCTCTGTGGCAGATTTGCCCAGTTTCCCACAGAATTTCACATTTGCTCTTTGTTCTAACTTGCTGTCCATGATGAGATAGCAGACGTTGTCAGATTAGCACCAGTTGCACAGCTCCCGATGTACACAGGATGATGTCTTCTGGCACACTTACTTATGAAGGTTGGTGCTCCCTGTGACTGTGTGTTTAGCCCTGTGCTGTCATCTGTTGGCGTGTTGCAAAACTAGTCTCGAAACTTTCTGATACCACCTCGTATATTGTGTTTGTGCTCACTTAAAGTCATTAAAAAGTATTTTTTTCCCCAAAAATGTGCATTTGAAAAACTACCCAGTAAATACCCTGTAACATAAAAAATTGCAACACCAACCTTTTTATTCTCTAGGGCCTAGGGGGTTATAAGTAACTTTCTAGAAAAATAAATGCTGATTTCCTTTCCTTTCCCTTCCTGGTATAACACATGTCCCCCCACCAGGTAATGACAGATGACCCCCTCCCCCACCAGGTAATGACAGATGACTCCCTCCTCCCACCAGGTAATGACAGATGACCCACCCTACCACCAAGTAATGACAGATACCCCCACCATGTAATAACAGATACCTCTCCCCCACCAGGTAATGACAGTTGACTCCCTTTACCACCAGGTAATGACAGATGACCCCCACCTTCAGGTGCCCTCCTCCTAGTAAAGATACATGGCCCCCCAGAGAATTACTGATTCCCCCCCACCATCCTGGTAATGTCACATTATTCACCCCCCCTCCCCATGCTGACAATGACAGATTTTCATCCAGCTCCCCATCTGCTCATCCTGCTCAAACTGTCACAGAAATCTGCAGCCTGTGGAGCCTGCAGTCCCTCGGTGGCCCCTCAGGAGGTGATACGGGATGTTGTGAGAATTTTTGTATGAGTGTCAGCAGGAGTTGTGGGGAGGGGTGGGGTGGTGTATGTCTGTTCTCTGCATAGATCTGACCAGTATCTTTTTACCTCCCCAATGACAGCAGTACCAGCTCCTGGATGGTGCTCTCCTCCTCCTCCCTTGCTCAGTCTGATGACAGCTCGGTATCCATCCCTGCCTGGTTGTCAGCACTGACACTTTCCCATCCATCAGGCCTCACCCTGTCCTTCCTCCACTACTCTCCGGCTCAGAACTTGAAAACAGAGCCAAAAGCTCAGAGCTTCAGCTTTGCCCATCATAGTGACAGGGAGATAGCACGGGCCCCCCCTGGAGCATGAGCGGGGTCACAATTGTGACCCCTGATGCTACGCCCATGTTGCCACCCTTGGACAGCAGCATTGCCAATCTGGAGAATGTTGGATGCACAAGCAGATTTAGATGGACTTTACAAACAAAATTAAGCTGAACACTTTCTAAATGTTTATAGCAAACTGTTTTTTAACCTTTTGGGATAAAGGATTTGCATAAATAAATAAAAGCTGAACATTGTAAGCACCTCTGTTAGTGTTAAATGGTTTATCTCAACTCTCCAGTAGCCACTATTGCTGGACAGCTTAAGCCAGCCATAGATGGTTCAAATCTTGGCCGATTCAACAGGGACCAGCC